TTATTATTATTGCGCTGCGAATACGTATTACGTGGGAGTATACTGACCGCCGCTTTTGCACCACCGGACCCGACCGCGAGCCGGTGTCCCGCGGGACAGTACCGTCTCGACGGATGGGATCATTACGGGCAGCGGGCGCTCGTTCGCCAACCGTTGTCACGTGTGCATATAGAAACGGGCCGACACCGCTTTTTACCGATATCCGATAATTCGATACGAAAAAACCGACACACGATATTTGAAATCGAAAACCGCGAGTCAACGTTGAAACTAACCGATATGACATGACCGGTTGAAAATCCGGTTTTGTAACCGCTGTTCAAAATCCATACGACGTAATACAGACATTTATTTCCGAAAAAATCGCGGGTCGAATCGAGTTTTTCAAAAAAAAAAACAACCCATACCACCGATGTCAAGTATCGGTTTATGTATCGACTCACCCCTAATAGTTATGTATCGGCGAGCGAGTCGGTTTATCGTCGGAATCTTTTCTCGGTCGCGTCCAATATTGCCGCGTCCGATGGTTCTGGTACAGCGTAGCTGTTAGAAAACCCGTCGAGACGAACGGTACAACAGTTTTGTTATTATAGTCGCGCTGCCGACTTGGAAAAACAAAAGGATCGAGTGCAATGTTCGAGTTTTTATGAGCTACCGCTCAGAATCGTTTTTTAATTGAAATTGTTTATCGTCGCCTTCGGTAAATAAACTAAATTATCCTAAGTGAAATCAGGAAGGTACTTTCCCAATTTTAGACCTACAACATTGGCCGATCCGTAGTGGCGAAGTACGTTCTGCTTGTATTTTGGTTTCGTTGTGTATTTTGAACACAACGAAACCGTCAGAAAAAAAAAAATGGATAATAACCATAGCAATATGTTAATAATATTACAATCGGAAATTATCGACATCCCTCGTCGCTTTTATTCACAGCGAATACAAACATCGTCGTAAATTCGAATTTTTAATGTGACGGCAACGCGATTTCTGTTTACAGCTGTTCAAATATAGTTATTTTCCACACGAAACTAATGTTCATAGGGGGTATTTCAAAAAGAAAAAAAAATTAAATTAAAAAAAAAAAAAAAAAAAAAAACGTCAAATTATAAATACGTCGTAACAGTAATATTATGACGGGGTGCAAATGGTTTAATGTCTGTGGCAACTCGATATTATTATTGTTGGCCGAATTCCATTAAAAACCTTCTCGTTCCAAACGAGCCTCATCCCTTCGATAAACGTTTATATTATTAACGAATTTATAACGCGCCCCGCATACAATTACACGTAATGTCCGTTTAAACTATCGAAATGTATTAAATAAACGGAATTTTTTTTTTTTTTTTTTATCAAGACGTTCCTTATTTTACATATAGTATATATACGTATTGTAATAATATATAATATGACCCGTCAAACGCAGGTTTAGTGGCAACTGGCAATGTATAATTATGTACGGTTTAAAAAAAAAAAAACAATAAACAACGAAAACACGAGGGGACGAGTTAAAAAAAACCGTCCTGTTACTTTTTAGAAATGTTTAAACGTACAGAATATAAATATTATATATTACTACGACCGAATTAATAAACACTCCGAAATTAAGTTTTGATAAAGTTATCAAAAGCAGAGTTATATCGATTCGGTAAGTCGTTGAACTGATTTCGGTTTTATACAAATTTTCGGAGTTTTTTAACATGAAAATATTCTATGGACAATTTCCTTATCATTTTATTACAATTTCGCTGTCGCTTAAAAACGTAATTTGTCTTGTTAGACTCAGCGTTATGATTCTTTGCGGTCATATAAAGCATATAAAATATAAATACAATTTCAGTTACATCACTTTCATTTTCATCAGACGAGTCTGAAGAAGACGTGATGATTTTTCAAATATCGAATAATCACCAAGGTCATTAAAATTCACCAAAATGGACCAAATCTTTTTGAAAACTACGATGGTTTGGATTTGGAAATTCAAAGCCAACTCTCTTTATTCAAACTTCAAACACAATTAAGAACGAGAAATTGAATTCTCATTTTTTGTAACATATACTTATTAAACGATTACAACAGTAGGTTCAGTAATCATAAAATACGAACTTCATAACACGAGGAATCAGTGTAATGTTTCCATAGGGTATTCTACATGTTAAACACCGTTTACTGTCAACATTTTGTCGAAAAATCACGGAAATACTCTCAAGTAGTTTTTCAAAAAAAAAAAAATAATAATAATAAAAATATTAACAAATCATCATGATATTATGTTATCATTACCGATTCATAACGCTTATGCCACTAAATCCATAATACAGTTGTAAAAAATTGTATTTATTTCGGTAATTTTAATTAAAAAATTCACAATATTTTCCTACGATATTTTTCAAATATCGAGTGTATTACATTGGTAATTTTAATTTTAATTGATTTATCTATAAACGATAGGAATGCTCGTAAATCACATTAATTATATGATAGACCCCATGTACTGTACCCCATGTAGGTTGTTATAATACATTCTCAGACTGCAAAATCGATGGGGAACATCGCCGCCGGAGCAATACGTTTATGAAAGGCTATCCGTCCAATAACTTTAATTTTACTCAACCAATAGATAAACAAACCTGCGACAGTTTACAGAACTGTTTGCACGCAATCCGGTATTAATTTAAAATTACGCGTGTGGTTAGTTGCATATTATCGTAATACACTCAGTAGCAAAAATATTCCAGTCGACTAGATTTAGATTCTGGGCCGGGCAGGTTCTGCGCGAACAAAATTAATTTCGATCCGCGGAAAACAAAAGCAAAACCCGACACGAGCCGAAAGTGCTTTACAGAGGGAGCTTTTTCGGTAGAGTTTTGGTTCTATGAATAGTTGGCATTGGAGAAAGAAAAAACGCGTTTTACGTATTACCGTGTGTACGGAGACGCGAGACGATGCGTCCGCATTGCATTTTTTAAAGTAGTTTGCCGTAGAATAAAAAAATATATTCGTCGCGGTCACGGGGCTGTGCTCTTCTTGGTGTTTCGCGCATTAAACCATTTAATTAACACACACACACACACACACTTACACTTACACTGTATGCTATAGTCGATGTAACATTATTATTATTATTATCACTATTATATCGTAGGTAATAATATTATCATCGTTATATTATATTATTATGTTGTTATGTTGTTACGACGAGCAGATAGGTTTTTTTCTCTCGCGATTGTCGTAGTTTTTCCATACCACGGTTTCGCCGTTGTAAAAAAAAAAAAAAAAAAAAAATGTAAAAAAATGTGCTAATTAAAAGTAGCGTTTATAATAATATAGCCGCAGTTTATAGTGTATAGCGACTAGTAGCAGTTTATAACATATTGTTATATTATTATTGTCGGTTTGAACAACGGCCGACTGCCGCAGGTCGTGTAACAACAATGGGCCATAAATAATATTGAAATTACCGCGTTGCGGTTCGCCGCGACAGCCACGGGATTAGGGTAGTAGTGGACTTAATTTTCGCGACTGACTTATTTAATGCGTGGTGTGTGTGTGTGTGTCGAAACGATGGTCGTTAATAATCGGAGTTTTCACCTTTGGTGCAGTAAATTTAAAACGTTTTTATTCATTCGAAGTTTAAATAATATATGGGTTAACGATATAAATCAAATGTCACAATGTATATGAATAAAAAAATTAAAAAAAATATTTCAACAAATTGTAACTACAAATAGGTCTACAATTTTTACGAAAAAATACTTCGACGCGTTTTGATCGCGTCGGTTTTGTGAAACCTATTTAGCGATTTATCGTCTCTTGAAAAAAGCTCGATCAACACAGGTCGCATCTGTTTGTGCTACAAGATTAGCTCCTTACTGCCGCAGGTGACTTTTTTTAGGACAGTGCTCTTCGTAACACCACTGGTCTATCTTTTGGCATACGACGTCCTTTACGAGGCTTTAGTCGATGATGAGAACCCGTATTTGGTAAAAATTGAACTTAAAATTTTCTTTGAGGTGGATGCGTATTATTAAAGTAGACGGATGTGCATACGGAGGTGCTACTAAATCGACAAAAGGGGCAGAACACGTTTACGTAAGTTTGTCCTTTTTGACAACACGGTTGCGCATGTTTTTCGAATTTTTGATAGATCAAAGAATACTTAAAAACAAAAAAATCAATTCGTGTACAACGTTGTCAAATTAATATACTATATACATATAAACTCAATAATTGTCTAGTACAATAATTTTATGTGAACTGTAAAATATTATTAAGATTATTAATAAAATAATTAATTAAATTATAGTTAAAAAATTAATTATTTTAAAATATTTGAATTTTAATTTCTGGACATCTATAACCTTATATTTTCAAATATTGCATTACATTTGTATGGATTTTATACTCAATAGTCAGCATATAAGCCTTTATAATCTTTTAAACTCGAATAAAATACTATTTCGCCATTTTATTTAATTTCCCATTATTAATTAATTGTGTAATCGATCTTGTCTATTAAAATTTAATGGTTTTAAACCTAATCTAACTTAACTATTTTCCTTTTTCGGATCACCTATATCGGTTTAATAGAATTTTCGATATTACTAAACGTCGATAAAATATACACACGTGCAACGATCAACGATGAACTGAACGTCAGAAAATACCTATGTAATTGAAATAACGAAATTTCCGGCATATTAAGATGTATATTTGATGTTGCCTTGATATCGTGTAATCAAAAATCGGGTAACGTCGTACGCAATCGTGTAGCTTAAAAAAGGTATCATCGATAACGAACGTACGCAATCATGTTTTACATGACAAAAGAACTGACACGAATATTATGCTCTTTATGCACTTCTCCAAATAGTTTTTTTACTACAACTTTATACCTTTTCTCAGATCAGTGACAATATTGTCAACTACGAGCAGAATGTCTTCGACAACTTCAGAAGATTGTGCTGGACAAAGCATATTGTTATAGTACGACTTTTCCATTTCTAATGTTGAGCCAACCAATCTAAATGGCGCATGTATATTTGAAGTATCTGATTGACGAGGTGAAGGTTGTGTAAAATCGCGTTCTCCGACCTCCAACTTGGATTTGGAAAATCTAGAAATTCGCCATCCGCTTCTTCGAATTCCGGAGGATTCAATGCATCGATCCAGTCAATTAATAGCATGGCGTCCTCTTCGTTCGTATTCATTACGGAATGATGAAACGAGTCAAACGAATTTAACTTTCAATATTATTGGTATACAGGTATTCTATCTATTATGTTGGGTTAGGTTAGGTTTATTATTTTGTAAACTGATACAACATTATGACGCCGGAAAATTCGCAGTGTTACGACTTACAAGGCGCGAATTGTACGGATACCTAACCTAATCTCTACCTGTTATTACGCGATCTAAAGGACCTGTGGCGAGGGGAAGATATCGGTATTGTATACATTATAAAATATAATCGGAGAAATCGCAATTGAATGTGGGCAACAATTGGATCGGCTCGGCGGGCGATTAAAATTCTCCAGAGTAGAATAATAATAATTATAATTGCATTTATACTAAGCCGAGAATATCCGCGTGCGAACTAACCTGCGAAACGAACGGCGACGTTGTAAATACGTAATAATATTATTATTACAATACGTTTCCAGTACGATTGTACTGTGCGATATAATTAGAAGAGAAAAGAAGAAAAAAAAAAATTGTTTACTACCGGAACAAATCGTCGTCGTCGTCGTACATGTTTGTATTGTATTTATACTTACGTATACTTATACGTACGCGTCGTGGTGTTGATGTGTTGTACTCGCGAAGACGGTTAATTTATTTCGAAACCAAACATCTTCACATTGTGTCAGGTCGAACAAAAAAAAGTTCTATTAGTAATACACCAAATCAATTAAAAATATTAACAACGGTTAAGTATTTACAGGTAAACCAAAAAGTTTTGACAGTCAATTTGGTATCAAATGTTAAAATCTTCAACGACGTAATCAAAATCAACATTATTGACCGTTATTCCGAAAGCTTCGTCGTAGAATTATTGCAACACAACCGTTGAGTTTTAAACCTGACTCGTAGTTTCGTCTGTGTTTATTTCCGTACAGACTTTGACATTCCACCCGGATTTTGTAAATGTATGGTCGCCTATTCAAACAAAATGTTTTGGGGCCAAACACATTAAAAAAAAAAAAAATTTAACCAACTCATCGGTCATCCTCCCCTTACCCAAGGACACCGAGTGGAGGTTATTGACTGGACCGTCTTCCAAAATATATTTTGTTTCAAATTCTCAGCGAAACAATTTTTCTGCCTACTTAAAATCTTGTTCCAGTAAATAATTTTATAAGAAATTTCTTGTAGGATTTTTAATCTAGTTGATCTGTTCTATAATTTTTATTGATTTCTTGGTTACCTTGACTACACGGGAAAAACGACCAATAATACTTTGCTCAGAAATATTTTTCGTTAGCAATGGTTTATAGTTGTATTTCATTCGCTTTAACTTCCCTCCTAAAACAATTGCATACCCATCAACAGTGCCAGTATTTGTTTGTATTTCTTAGTTGTAGGTAGGTTTATAATATTGATTTGATAAAGGACTCCGATCAGGCACCGAGGTCGAAACTTGGATTTTAAAACTCAAATCGTTCTCTGGGTTCTTATACAATTGAACTCTGGACTTCCGACATTCATTGTCGGTTGGTTTCTGATTAAGAACTTAATATTGTTGAAAGAAAGCGCTCAAATGTTTTTTAACGATCAGTAGCAGTTTCAAGCAAATCCGGTACCTACCTGATCATATTATTATCATCTAACGGAGACAAATTGTGCAGGGGTAAGACAGCGTATAAACGGAACTTGACCGACATAACGCTTGGAGATTTAAAAATGGTGTCGTTTTTGATTAATTTTTTGTTTTTGTTTTCGTGCTGTAGGACTTCGTTGTTTATAAATGCTGTATTCATATATACGTATGGCGTATACGCTCGCTTTAATAGAAATCTCGAATTCCGAGAATCGATCGTCGAGGAAAACCGCCGACAGTATGGAAACAGTACAGCGTTGTTGCATATTGTAGCCATCTAAATGTATTCAGTACGCGTACAATTTTTGAATCGCCATTAACAATCAAGAACGGAAGCTTTCAATCCAAAAATAACCGCGTATACCTGTACGTTTGTTTTACCCGATATAATTATTATACAGGTCATCGATACGGACGATGTATACGTATTTAGCTTTGTATTATTGTTATAGTGACGATTAAAAGTAATTAATTTTATCGTTTGCCGCCATCTTTAACGGGATTTGTTGTCTTTTCGTCTCTATACCTGCGTGCGTCGACGTCCCGCGGTATAATAGTTGTTTTCGATTCGTGACGGCACACGTCTGAAAAAAAAAAAAAAAAAACCACATGAAAAACAAACAAATGAAAAATGACTTCTACGGTTGTAAGGTTTACTCACTTTACTCATCTGACCGAGCAATAAAAATGCCAGTGTACTCGCCTATTTGTTCGTAGCGACAAAACGTCAAGGCTTGACATTAACGCGTTAAAATTTTAAACTAATATTATTAGTTGAGTCGTTACTAATGAGTTTCTTTATTAAATGATTTACTTTTAACTTAGTTAACGAGTTACTTTTGTCGTGCACTTAATATGTACTGTAGATATTATGGGTACAGCGACGGCGATATCCCGCACATGAAAAATTCGGCGGTGATTAGTTTTTTTCCGCCTAAAACCGGTACTGTGTTGTGCTAGCTTTAACACCTTAACCTTTAACAAAAATTCAGGACCAAGCACGCACCACTTAAACTAATTCGCTGTTGATCTCACCCAAACAGCATGAGAAAAACATGAGATCCGAAAACGATAGTTGTAAAGGTATGTTGGTTGCAACATGATACTCGGGAGTTTTATGGCCAACAAATAATTAAGTGCAACGCTTTCTGTTATCTGTGTAACGTCTACGAAACATATTTCAAAATATGACATATCGCCAGTCTAGCTCCAATTTGATAACTAACTTAACGGCGCTTCGGAAGGTCTTCAAAATCTTCAACACTAATATATGTATCTCAGATCTGTCTGGCTGTTTCGCGTTAATGAGATTCAGATTTACACTGTAAACGCTACTCTTCTTGTATTATTTTTAAGTTGAAAATTTCTGCTATGTAAGTATCTACCTCCCACTTTTACTTTCGAGCCGTCCCCTCCGCTCGTACCTACCAAGGTTTTCAAGTCCAATCGTCTTCCGTTCAAGATTATACTAGACACCCCTAGACTTGCAAAACGTGCATACACTTTCCATTAAAAAACGCGGAGTTTTACGAGTAATAATGCACTACTACTGTCCTCCGACCCAAACTTAAAAGTGGAATATCTCGTCAACGAATTGACAGAAATCAAAAATTTCAACACTAATTTTTATTTCTACTAATACTCCATCTATTTATCGGATTTTAAATATAGATTGTCATTTGAAAATCAAAAGTAGGTAGAATTGTTTCACCCACGAAAATTAGGGTGACAAAAAAACAAATGATAATGTACAATTTTAGATTTATTTGTTTCTTAAGTTTTCAAAAAAAAAAAAATTAAAAATAATCAACACTTTTCGAAATAATGAGTGTTAAACGATAAAAGAATCACCCGGTATATTCTTTGTAAATCTTTTATTAATCGTTTATTGTTTGACATTTTAAATAAATCGTTTTGGTTTTTTTTTTTTTTTAATTGTATCTACTTTCCAGTTTTTACCATGTTTTTCCCACCTATTAGGGCAATTCCTGTAAAAATCAAAAGAATTACCTCTCTAAAGTACCACGCCGGGGAAATTCCATTTCAGAAAAAGTGCTATACTTGATACTCCGGAGCAAGATTTCCGGTAAAATGTTCGTACATAGTATATTAAAAAACAAACATACGTCTTTATAAAACCAATACATCTTTCGCTACACTCAGAATCAAAAAAAAGAAATTCAAAACATATTTATTTTAAAAGGCAAATTTCGGGCGCCTATGCTCAAGGGGTTCGAAATCCGGGTCGGCCCGGGCCTACCCACTGGACGCGGCTCCGAGAGAGCGATGGTCGTGTATAAGTTATTGTCACGTTGTGTTACGTTCGAAATATCATCACATTGTTTTACCGCGTTTAAGTGGTTCTCGGACCGTTTCATCGGAGGGAACGTCTCTCCGGCGGGCGATTTCAAACGCACAATCGTAAAAAAAAAAAAAAACATACCAGGAGTGCGGGGTCTCGCGGCCCGGGCTTTTGGATGGGACAATATAATATTGTCGTGTAATATATTATTACGGTGGTTGTGCGTATACGCGTACGAGTTCACACAAGATGGATGGCCCGGCATAATGAATGAGGGCTATTATTGCAGCTTACGCGGTGTCCGGGCGCACGATTCGTGACTTATGTATCATATTTTAACTACGTAAATAACGAGGCCCGGGGAGACGACATTCAAACGACGGGCGGGTTTTTTTGAAAGAGATTTTTGTACATGTGTACAAACCGCGCGAGCGTTCGGGGGTCCGGAAGAGAGGAGTTTGTGATGCGTGTGTGAGAGACAGTATGTGTGTGTGTATATATATGTAGTTCCGATGACAGATGGATATTTAAGAAACATTTTCTCCGCTCGTTTAAATATTTCCACAATATATACGTCTCGTTGCAGCAACAGCAGCAGCAGCAGCAGCAGCAGCTCTTAAAAATAGAACGGACGTTTATAAAAAAGAAAAAAAAATACACACACACACACACACTCATTGTACAATGATAATATTCAATTATAATATCGTTGAGACTTGATGTGTATAGTGTGTACGCGCGTACGCTGACAGAGGAGTTGAACGTATTCTCTATGCGGCGCGACGATTATGAATTTATTATTATTATTATTTTTTTTTTTTATCAGAAACAAAACGCGTCTCGACAATTAATTACGAGCAGGTATTATGGCCGCGTTTTTGTTTTATTTGTCGATTTTCTATTCAACCGCACGGGATCGCGTCATCGTCACGCGTAAACTTCTCTTCGGTATGGGCCTGTACCCGTACAACAATCCACTCGTATACTTCGGTGTCGTATAATATTTAAATTACGTACACACACACACGTATATTATTATATTATACGAGCAGTGTATACGGACCAGATTATAAGCGCGACACAAAGAATCGCGCGGGCTAATCTTACAATCACTACACTCGGATTATACTTGTATTTCAACAATATAATATGATTCATTATGCGATCTCGGCGGATGATTCGCGTCTAACGCGTTTTTAAAAAAAAATATTATTCGGAGCGTGTTTGGTTTTTTTTTTTTTATACAAACCGTGGACATTTTTTCCCGGGAATCCAAATGGCATCCCGATATAATATGCAGTTTACTATACATTTTTTTATCCCGTTCTAGAGCTTATAACAACTCTACAAAACTTTAAAAACTCTAAACTTTAAGTATCGACACATTCTCGAATACATTATTCCCGGTAAATATTTCCCGTTTTTTTTTTTTTCAGATCCTCTTTAATTCCGTCCGACTAACGCTTTCCGGGTTTCCCGGTCGGCCTTTAACTTGCTGCGTGTCTCCATTCTGTGTAGCTGCTGCGCTGTCTTTTTTTCCTGCGCATTGCACGGCCAAACCATTGTTAACTGCGTACTTTGATATAAGATTCGCTAACAGTAATTCAGTTATCTCACCACGCAGCTCTTTATTGTGCACCACGCCATTGTCTCTTTTAATTACATAGGCATGCGCACAGGGTGTGCCTAGTGTGCCGTAAAACGCCCCGTGGCTTGTAGTCTGAAAACAAAGTTTGCTCATTTTGGGCTTAATTTAATTAAATGCTAACCCATGAGGGATGAAAAAAAAAAACTGTCATTAAGTAACCAATAAATTAAACCAACGGGCAACCGTTAACCGTGTGATTATTTATTACTTCATTGGGTTTGAGGTGTATCGTAACAATGGCAATATTAAATTTGTTTAAATTATTAATGATGTTGTTGATTGACCTAATAAAGTAAGTACAGAATTGTTTTCTAATGTTTATTTGCGTTCAAATTCGATATTGATAGGAATATGATACATATGGTTCCTATCATAATGTTCGACTCTTCTTTTATTATCCGGTCGAACGGATTTCCCTTAACTCTTGTCTCTCATTTGGTTTAAAGTAAATTCCCTCAGTACTAGAAATCCTGTGCTTCCAGTAAACCCTATATCAATTTAACTCTCCGGTTAGTTTAGGTTCATCTCGTATGGTCGATTATATTTAGTTAAATCGAAAGCGGTTATAGTTCTTGGCTTGTAGTTTTAGTTTTAACCACGGTAATTAATTAATCATTATCTTAGTCGTAGTTAAAACGCAACCATAGGTTGTTTTAAGTTGTACACCGTTAACCGTAGTACAATATTGTACATTGTAACAGGAATCTGTGTAAAGCCATTGCGTTAAACCGTGTAAAATAAAAATAGAACACAATAATGTTTTTGTGAGATATAGATTTTTAACGATTTGATATTTTACATTAACTGTCTACTTTTTTTTTTTACGGGCTTACGGAATAAAGGCCCATTTTCTTTAGGCGATTTTCAAGCGCAAAACAACACGCCGTTACTTCTATATACTATCGCTTCCACGAGCGCCGTGAACAAGGGGACTTTGGGGCTGCAACGCCTCCCATGAGCTTGACAAGACGGAGCTCGGCCCCCACGGTTCTCGTATCAATATTTGTCATGTACATCCTTAAAATACTAATTTTATTCGTAACAAACTAATTGTGGGAGATAATCGGGTTTTATGTTTTGACGTTCATAGCAGAGAAAGAGTGTAGATTTTGGTAATCGACCGGGTTCTCGGTTGATTATCGGTGTCTGGTTTTTTAAATTTTCGTCTTGTGATTTTTCTCGATGCTAATACAATTAAAAAAATATTACAACATACAAAGCAACGAATGCCAATATTTTAGTGATAATTGTTAATAACGAACAATTTAAGGAAAATACAAATAGGAAATACTATACGGAAAGATTCGGGTAAAACCGTAACACGAGAGTTTATGAAACACAGCGGGCCCCCCAATGACATTTTCAAAACGTGGCGCCTCTGACCGCTACTGTATATTACGATTGATTTTGCTATGAAAACGGCATTTTCGAACGGCAGCCTGCGCAGGGCTATGGGTAATTTTCGGGGGCTTTACTCCCGCGGCGTCCGCTTTTTCTCGGACGCGACGGCGTTCGATACGACTTATTATTTCGGCACTTTCCGCGCGGAAACGCAAAGTCCGTCCGGTCCCCCTATCACCAACCCGCCGTATTGCCGTACCGTCGAATTTAGACGTACGCGTGTTATAAATTATTATTCGTTATCGTGTACGCCCGATCGGCATACGGGTTCAATAGGGGTCGTCGGGCGAAATGTTTTAATTAAAAAAAAAAAAAAAACAAACACAAACACAAACGCATTCTCCCGGATTTGAGTTTTCCGTACAATACTGTTGTGTTATGCGTATCGCGTGTAGCGCGGCGGTTTTCAAACTGGTCTTTCGACCGCGGCACACATCGCGTTTGACAACATTTTCGCGACGCACTGTGACCTTTTTCTTTTTTTCTTTTTTCTTTTTCGTTCGTCACTGTTTCGCACGAAATCGGAACTAATAACGAAATCGACGAGTCGTACGCCTTCAAAATTTAAAAGTCGAAATTCTCGGCCCGTAAAATCGTAACGACGTGTACACGAGCATTGTAATCGTGTCCTCCCCGAATCGCCGACTGCCGTTTTGCCGACGAATGAACACCGGTTCTATAAGGTGTTTGAAAACCTTGCCATTTCGCCGACACGTAAATCGCTATTTTGAATTGCAATATTATTGTCGCGATGCAATTATAATTGTCACCAAAGGAGTTCCGGTACCGCGATCGCGGCACGAACGCAAGTAAATACATTGGAATTTAGCATTGTCGGAAATACGAACGCCGTCGACAGTGACGTCGGGCAACCGACCGACGGTTCGAAATAATTCGTCTTGTTAATCACGCCGCCGTTCTTAAGTTTGGTACGGTTTTGCGGTAAAAAAAAAAACGACAACGGAGTCACGGGCGTGGCGCACTTTGACAAACGCGCGTCGCAGGTGTGAGCGGCAGAAACGGCCGGTCGGCCACGCCGCGGCAATGAACCGTTACGGTCCTGTACGTATATTTAGGTGTGCGGCGACCGCGACACCGATTGTCGGCCGCGAATTTTTTTCAAAACGGTATTTTCGTACGAATTCACGCGCGTATAGTGAGCGGCGTGCGCCGTGCGCATTATTATTGTATCGCGTACGCGTATTAGCCGGGTTTTTTGGCACGGGCTTCCGGGCACGGCCGGATAGTATCGCGAGCGCGAGCGGCTAATAGCTCGTTAATGGCTCGCCGGCGGCGAACAGAAATTTAAAATAAACGGAAAAAAAAAAAACCACGAGCATCACGCTCCGCGGCCGTTACGGGCTTTTCGCCGGCCGCCCGACGGTTATAATAATATTACGTTAAATTGCGCGCGAACCGTTTTTCATTTTGTTTCCTCCCCCATCACCCTCGAAAAACCGAGGGAAATCGACTGTCGAAAACGATTCCGCGACGGCAGCCGCTGCACGGTGGTCCCCGACGGAGACGACGAAATTAGAATATCGTTCCGTAGTTTTGTTTTTTTTTTGTGTTTTTTTTTTCGTTCGGCGCACGACGACGACAATAATATTGTCTTTATTTTTTGCGGTCGTCTGCGACGGGCCGCCGCGTCGAGCTTTTTCGATCAGGTCCGCCGGTCGGGCCGAACAAAACAAAAACCGAAAAAAAGCGACAGCAATTAGAAAAAAAAAAAATTAAAAAAAAAAATATCGTCGATGCACGCACGGTACGATTTTCAATGTTTTCGTTTTGCCGGACCGTCCCGGCGTTATTACAATATTATTGTTTGCCGTCGCGCGTGTAGGTTGTACGTCGCCGGGACAACAGCGACGCTGCTCGTGGCGATTTTTATTTATATATATATATACATACACATTTTTTTTTTTTTTTTTAATTTAACGGACCAACAACCAGCGCTCGTCTCGGCCATCTATCACGGACGGTTGACGTTATTAAATGCCGTTTGCGCATATCGCGGCGTAATAATTACGGCGCGGCCGCAGTCCGGCGCGCGGCGGTCGCGTGCGTGTGGTCCCGCGCGCGGGTGCGAGCGGTTACGACGACGAAGACGACGACGCCCCCGCCGGAGCTTTACTTAATTAGTTAGGAATCGAGCCAAACGCCTCTTTGATCCGGACGAGTTGTCCCGTAAATGCGTTTAATGCACTGGTCGCGGCGGAGTGGCGACGCGCGCGCCCGGTGGACTGCGGCCGCACTGTTACGCGGACGTGTTTAAACATTATTGCCCTGTGTGTCACCTCCCCCGACAGCGCGTCCCAATTGTAATAAAAATAATAGAAAAAGGTAATTTTTGCAACGCAGCCCGAACGCGCCCCGGTTCGTTTTCAGAGTTCACCGCGAAAAGTGTTTGTTTGTTTTGTATTGTTTTTACATTTTCCTCACGCCCGTTCGTTCGGGACGAGTGCACTGATTTTATCGTAACAAATATGTTTGCTGGAAATGTTATTATTCATTGAAGGCCGGCGTTTAAACACCGTTCTTGCCGCGTCGGCATAACGCGCCGTTCGGCAGCGGTATTTTTTTTGAAAACTACGAAAATCACGTCACTACTTCGGTAACAGACGCGACGGAAATCACGGCGCTACTTCGTTTATTCGTTCGCTAGAAGTCTGCACGACCACTGGCCGTAGTCTAGCCTGGTTACCATCGAAATCGTAAATTGAAAACTCTGTTTACCCGCTATATTTGAATTGTTAAATCTAAATTATTACGGTACCGCGATCGGGGGGCGATCCGTTTCGAGCATAATATAGATAAACGAAATCGACTATAGACACTGTATCGACTCGGACGGGAAAAATAGGCTCTCTACGAAGAGCGTCCCTCACCCCGCCCACGGTCGCCGGTGACATTTGTTCGGGACCGCCGATTGCGCGGATCGTTAAGTGGAGGACGTTACGCCCGCGTCTGCCGTCTCGGTCCGACTACCGGGCAACACGCCGCAAAATCTACGTTCACGCAAAACAATCGAAACCAAGGATTTTATAGCGTAAAAGTACCCGTTGTGAAATGTATTTGAGAACAATAGTGTTTCGGGTGTTATTCGAAAAAAGTTTCGGCCGTTTTTTTTAGCAGAAATAAAAAAGTGTTCGTATGTTCGATATCGAGCCGTATATTTTGAACCCTGTTACGGCATTCCCTCGAAAACAATACCGTTCGCCATAGATTTCATAACGGGGTACCGTTTTACTCTTTAACGCCGAAACAAAGCTGGTTTTACCGATTCTGCGCAGGCGTTGTTTTCGCACGGTGCCCGATAGTCATTATGGACCGGGACGGTAGATTCGGATGTTGCAGCGTAGGATTTAATAATAGGGTTTTTAACGTCTCTGTCTTCGTGTCGAAAATAACATCGCGATATTCAGCGATTTCGCCGCGAAACGTACGACCGGCGCAGCGCGCGGAGACCGTTTTAGTTAAAACTAACCGGACCATTTTTCACGGGCACAAGCCTGCCCGCAAATATCCACGCTCGTATGGTATTTCCTTTATCTACGGTTTCGAGCGACTGCACTCGACAGTTCGAAAGGTCGAAATTGACGTTTTCGAATTATTTTTTTTTTTTTTTTATTCTCGACACCGCAACAAGCGAGCCGCTCCGAAATTACGTTCGATTACGGTTATTGTTCGTC